CGCGCCGCCGGCGGCCGCTTTTTTGGGCACTTCGGGGAGCAGAATCGATTGCTGCTCCTGAGGCGTTGAGGGGGCCGTGCCGGTCTTTCCAAGAGATCTCACATGAAAATGAACACCTTGGCACCAGCTGATTGGCCTGGACTCCGGGCCAACAACAGGTCAGTGAGCTCTTTTCATTATCCATTGTGCTTTGCAATGACAAAAGGGAACATAGCTCATAGGTTTTGGCATTATATAGATATATCTATTTATTTAAATATATATATATACACACACGTATAATAAGTCCATTCTTATAGAGATGATGGCACTTGCACATCCGTCCAATCACTGAGATCCCTGTCACCCACAAAGTGGGTTTTGTCGCCATCTACTCGGGTCCTAAGCCACTGCTCCAATAATAAGGTCCTTCAGTGCATCTAATCCTCCAAATCTCACTTATGTTCCGGATACATGCCAGGACCTGACTTTTTTGGGACCCAAACAGGTGGTTTCTGGGCACCTTTACCAGGAAACACCTGTTGGAGGAGGGTGCTGGTATAGCCATCTAGTCAATAGTTTTCCTACAACTCCTGGGCCCAAAACCTTGGAGAAAGCACGAGAAAGCAGTTTAATATCCAAATGGAACCCATGGAGAGAGAAATGGCAGTTTCCCTAATAAACATGACGCAACATATATTAAGCATATAATGATACATAATGTAATAGAGATTGATAGAGACGCTTGATTAATAAACCACCCATATGAAGAGAATTTCCATTTTGAATCAGGGGGGTACTAATGCTCGAAACACCTTCTTGCCGGGCGACGAGGTTGTCGCATCTACGGGTCAACCACATGACCCCCCAAAAAACAGGCTATAATGTAGACTCTTGATTACAAAACCCACCCCAATTGGATTGGGGGGGGGCTGAATAATCAAGAGTCTACACTTCATTACACATGGACACTTATCATCACTTCTCACCTGTGTTCACCTGTTTACCAACCTTCACCTGCTTACCTCACTCACTGTCCTTCTCGCCGAGGCTCGAGTTCTTGCCAAAGACCCGCCACGTCAGAATTCGCAGGTAGGATCCCTTGAATCAAGACCTGCAGCTCCTGAACCAAAACCCTAACCAAATAACTCACTGTATCTTCCAAACTGCCACACTCCCCGAAGATGATGACACAAAAGGTTGTCGAACGTTCCGCGTCCCTGGCGAAACAAAAGCACGGCGATTGGTACGGCAAGTGTAGTATAGATCTTGGGTTTTTACTATGAAAAGGATATTGCACTACCCACACACTCCCAATTGCAGCCACTCAAATACCCTTGGAGTGGATGATTGCACGCAATCGAGAGATGTTACTAAAGTACTTTGATCATTGGTCCACTCCTTATTGGGCACACAAACATGCTTCAACCGGCGGTGACTTCCGCAAATGGCAAACCTAAACTTATATAACACCAAGCCAACCTGTGAAGCAGCGGATCCATGCAACATCATACAACCAACCACTGTGTTGGACTCCAAAACACCAAAAACTATTCCAAACCTGGGGGGCCGACGTGGGGGAGTCCGAGCACTCTAGCGTCAGAGTAAGACCAGCGTGTTTCCTAACATTCGCCAGGGCGGCCCTTTCTTAAAACAACCACAACGACACGTTGCACTTTGTTCGCAAAAGGCGTGTTTATGCGTGCTTGCTCTCTCTCTATATATATATACTGTAAGACCCTTCCAAACAACAAAGGACGGATCTTGGCATGATCAAACCACAACAACAAAACCATCACATCCGTCCTTGATGCCCCCATGAGAACCCCCACATCATCCAGTCTACAACGTCCCATGACTTCTTCTTCACACACGCGCTTCGCAGTGTGGAAAACACCCGGTGTCCTGGAGGTTCAGTTGGTCATCGACCGACATGTCCACCACCTCGTCCGGCCCCACCACGCTGAAGCCCCCAGCCGTCAGCACCTTGTTTCTCGCTCCGCTTCGGAGCGAATAGGGGTGCTGGAATTTGGGATCATCCAATACATCTCAAGGGTCTTGCAATGTATTGCACCACATACATATCAATAGCAATCAGTGATATGAAACATGCAAACCAAGGCCTTCCAAACCTGATGCTGCATAACATTGCATAACATTGCATAAGTATTAACTATGTTGTGACTGTGTGCCAGCAAAAGGCTGCTCTCTTCTGTGTGAACAAGATCAAAACAATGCTAACATGTACAGAGGCAAAGTGGGGCTCCGAACCACCCAACATAATGCTTAACTGTTTGTTCCTCCATTTTTTCTTCTTTGGCGAAGTGCCAAGGTAGCCTCAAACCTCCGCGCATGGGCGATGATAAAGCCTGAAACCACAGCAAATTTAACCCCCTGTGGGACATAGATAATTGCCCCTGGCCAAAACATAGTGTTTGTGCATCTTCAACTCATTTCAACTCGCTGAGTGCTGACGATTTCACCAGTTGAGCCAACCAAATCACCTCCACATCGCCCAGTCAAACCCCACGCCTGCATGGACGTCTCCTCCTCAGGTCTGGGTGAGCTCATCGCTTGTGAGGACTCCGAACGTCCCTGGCGTTCGGACCCACTCCGCTGCGTTCGATCCGCCGGCCAGCGCCGTGTCCGGCCGCCAGGACCCACCAGGGAGCCGAGCAAGCAAGGCAAGGACTTAGAAAGGTCCGGTTGAGCCTTTATAGTCACCATGGTTAAACGATGGTCACAGAAAAGGGGTACCATCCAAGAAGCCATGCTTTGTTGGGTAACAAGCAGTGGATATGAGCTAGCGGAACTTTCCGTGACCAGCCTCGAGAACGACTTTAAACAAGTGGTGGAGCTAGTGGAAGTGTAGTGTGCCGCTAGTCAGAACGGTCATGTGTAGGGTGAATGGAGCCTGACCGTTCTGAATGTATGAAAACACTTGATCGATGGATTCACAGATCCTTTTCTCCAAACACACAGTATTTCTGTCACAATGAGCCTGTTTCCAAACACTCGAGAAGAGAACCTCCAGCACCTTCAATGGCATGTCTTTCAAGACATTCATCCCCCCACCTTCGTTGACTCTGACAAGGATCAGTTGGAGGTGTTGGATAACACCTTCTGCTTGAAGGGGAACTCCGATCGATTTGGTACCCCAAAAAATGTGTGGGCTTGACAGGGCCTTGGGGTCAATTAGAATGTGACTGATCCACACTGGATGGGTCTCAAACCACCCCTTTGGTGACTGTTTTTTTGACAAAGCCCCCTTGTCAAGGCCTCCTCGACGTCCACATTCGACAAGGACTGTGAGGAAGTTCCTGAGACGTCATCGCTTGGAGGACGCCGAGCTGGGATGTACCGGTCGCTTTCATTTTTTCTCCTTCTCCGGGGCCAAGGCTATACATGCAAAAGGATCTCAGCCCGAACCACTCGTTGATCTGAAGCCAATACAGAATTTCAAAACGATGTAAAACGCATGGTCTCAAAAGGAACCAAAAAATATCAAAAATTCATTGTAAAATTACATTTGGCCTTTGTCCTCCCATCTCCGTAGGAACTGGTGGATGAACTGACCATACCTCAAATCCAGAGTGCAAACCTGGATTTGGCGCTGATATCCTCAAACACATTACTCATGGTTGGGTTCTACTTCAAGTTTATCTGCTGAAGCATTCTTAGGGTAGATGCGTCCCTTACTTATTCTTTCTGAGCTCTACATATAAGCACCACCCTTGCTGGCCCCATTATCTTCCATCTGGCGCTTCCCCTTAGACTCTGGAAGGGTATCACTTAGTGTCACGTCCTCGAGGCAAGCATAGCTTCAGCTCTGAGCTCCGAAACTCAATCTACAAGGCATCTGTATCCGTTGATTCTTTCGGGATCATGTACCAATATCTCGGGCGCCCTTTCCATCGGCATCACGATCTCCGACGATCAGATCGTGATCAGCCCAAGGCTCTGAAAGTAAAGCTGGAATTTAAAACCTGCGAAGCTGCGAAGACGAGGCTGGAAGCTCGGCGCAAGCTGGACGGAAAGGAACCAATGCCCTGGGGCCTGGGGCAGGTGCTTTGAATGAAACCAGTTCATCAGTCCAAAAACCCTGCTGGTGTTTCGTCGCCTCAGGTTCCCAAGTGATGGGCGAGAGCGAGTGAATGGACAATAGGAACCCTTAGCGTCCCAGACTCATTCTGCCTCTCGAACCCCTCAAAGTCAAAAAAAGCCGCGGGCCTGGGTCTTCTTGTGCGTCTGCGTTCGCAAGGTAAAGTCCTCGCAAGGTCGTGCGGCACTCAAATGTCCAAGAAGTGTTACATACATACTATATATAGACTAAACTAAACTGCCACATAGACTCAAACATAACTTTTGGGGCTGGCACCAATACAAACCAAATTCAAAAGGTTTCGTCGCGAGTGTCCGGCAAGGTGTAGGACAAGGGCTCCGAAAAGAACTCGAGCTTCTCGTTGAAGGCCTCACCCAGCTGCGCTTGCTTTTTTTCTACGCCATTGCCACATCCAAGGTTTTAGGACTAGAGTCTAGAGAGGTTCATCTGGTCTTGAAGATCTTTCTCATATTTCAAGCGGCTCGTCTAAGCAGTATTTGAAGGCTCGTCTAACCAGTGGCTCGTCTCACCTTGAAAAACAAGTGGCTCATGGAGTCCTGCTAGGACCCGAAAGGACGAGCAATGGGGCATCGTTCCCGCAGTCCAGTCAACTGGATGGCCTTTTTGGGATGGCCACCATGAAGCGGGCGTGACTATGTGTCTAGTGCGCTGGGTGAACCTGTTTGGGGCTAGAAGAGTTCAAAACACATCGGTGGATGGAGGGTAAAGAAGATCAGGCCAAGTGGTCTGGGGGAAACATGCATGACATGCCAAAACTGAAGGAGTGGTGGAGGCAAGACTCATCTAGCAACTATGAGTCAGTTTCATACGGTGACGTCATCGACAGTTCATGGTAATTATCTTTTCTTCATGTTCAACCATTTCAACATCTGCCCCGCAACCGACCTTGAGTCATTGCTCACCACACCACCCACGACAACCGAAATCCATACGACCAACACCTCTCATCGCGGGCCTTTTGCATTTCTCGCACGGGCAAGTCGTTGGCATCCTCTCCGAAAGGCTGATCGATCTCCTGGCAGCAGCCAACACTCTCCCAGCCGCCCGCGTCGCGAGGTTTTTGGCTGCGCACCGTGTGGAGAAGGATCTCTAGAGTGGAGAAAGCTGAGGTGAAGCTGGATGGAGAACATGGCGGAGTCCGGAGTCCAAAACATGTGAGAAATGTTCAAGCTAACACTCCCACTCAGGTTCCATATGGAAGCACCCCCTGTTCATAGAGCTATATGGTCTTCTGGCCTGTTTGCCACTTCCATGTTAGTGACTCAGAGTGTACTGCACCTGTAACAACACATGCACGTATGTTCATGTATTTCCAGGGTTTTCAAATCGGACCGGCCTGGGCGATGTAGAACAAGGTCCAAAAAGAGGTTGACACCACAAAGACAATGATCCCGGCCTTGGCAGAGATCTCGGAAAAGACCGTGCATCACTGTGCATCCATTTGAGGCTTCTAAGATCTATATAGAATCTATAAGCTTGTAAAATCACATGGAACACACAAGAATCATGTGGGTGGAATATGGTGGAATGAATCATGGGGCTCTCAAAGCATATGGCTTTGGCTTGCTTGGAATCGCACTTCCGGCGGCAGGTGGGTTCCAAAGCAACATCCGCAGTCTGTACGTCCGGCGGCTACACTCAAGTGGTGCAAAAATGAGTCATGTGATTCATGGACAACTCAACTTCCTCTACCTGGGTTCCTCACCCTAACCTGCAAGAGTGGCTTCTGTGTCTTTGCATGTCTTGGGTCATAGGCATGGTGTAGTTGTAGTCGTGGTGCTCACATAAACACATGTGTTATTTGGAGAAAACCGAACTGATCAGCATCTTGAGGGGATTGGAGTTGCCCAAATACTTCGAGAATCTTCGAGATCTGGGCGGTACTTCTTAGACTGGTGTAGCTTCTGTCCCGAAGCAAAACAGACTCGCTCACTCGTTGAGCACATGGTATCCTGAAGTCTCACAACATCCCGTAGCACCTGAGATCCAGAGGTTGACTCTGTGCCTCACTTGGTTAAGTAACCACACCTCGGAAGGGCTTGAGATGGCCTCAGGGACCAATCTCTTGGGATTCGCCAACATCAAACGACTCCGCAGCAAACCTCATCTGCCAGCGGTCACAAGGGATGGTGTTGAGTCCCATCCAGTGAGTAGATCATGGGCACCACTGACCTCCATGGATCGCACCACGTTGAAACGCCTGGTGTTTTCTTTGAGCACCACCAATTCCCAACCCCTGTCCACCCCCCCCCTTTCATGCCAGGGAGCCCACCAGGGCCTTACGACTAGATGGCAAGCCACCACGGGTGTCATGATCCAATGGGCAATGAGCATCAAGGACAAATACTGCGAGTACGGAAATGGGAAGGGCACCTCGATCGCCCGGCCGAGAGATGATGCGGAGCATCGATGGTCATCGTCTCTTCGTCGCTGAGTACACACGTGCTGATCGTGCTGGGTACACAGCGTGAGCGTGGTGGGATGCTTTGCGGTCAAATGAAACCCAGCGTGGAAACCTGACCTTGGAGGAAAGACAACCACAGTGAGCCCGCGGTGGGGCAGGTGATAACTAACCTGGGTGTGGCCTACCAGGTGAACCGAATCCGAGTGGATGCATCCCGAAATTCTAGTTGGCAAAATCCAATAATTCTAGTACTTAGTACAAACATCTTGCGCTCCTGCTTAATCTTTCAGTCTTTCATAGAAAGACCACTCTCCAGCTCCGAGGAATACGATTTTCATCCCCCCCCCACAACTGCTCCCCATGTCAGAAATATCCTCAGCACCACCTGTAGGTCTCCATCCCTTCCATATATCAGTCTGGTCTTCGATCGCCGCGGGCGTCGGCCGTACCGCGGCACCATGCGGATCTTCCGCACGTTGGTGACGCCGACCATGCCGCGGGAGAGCTCTTGGAAGGCCCGCGACAAAATGGGCGGGGGTACTTCAAAGAGATTCCTCAGTGGATTTTCACTGGAGGCAGGCGCAGTTGGGGGGCAGAGATGGAGGTAAGGATGCAGGCAACTTGGCAAACACATGCATGGATGTTGGATGATTTTGGTGTGTGGAGCGGGAGCCTGCAAAAATCATGATCAGGGAATGAGATGTGCTTTACACAAAAAATGGGTGCACACATCTTCTACGAACCTCAAGAAGGTGGTGGAAGATTTACAGTACTGTATTTCAACTGGATTGAAGTGCTTGATGGTGCTTGGGTCTCATGGAAAGTGAGCACCCGAAAGTGACATGTTGTTCAACCAGTGGCTTAGAGGAACAAAGTCAGACTTGTAGATGGGGAAAACATGGGAAAACTAGATAGCTGACAAGTACATAACCTAGCGAAGCCCTCCCATCCTCGCAAAAAACTATCAAACAAAAAAAACGTCCAACAAAGCCATACCCTCCTGCAAAATGAACCTGGACCCACCAAAACCGTGTTGATCTGCATTATCTACGGCAAATTGGTCGAATCCACGAAACAACTTTGGGGATCCATCTTTCGCCTGCAGGGGAGATGTTACCTTTCCCCTTTTTATTCCTTAGCCCTTGGTTCATGTCATGCTACCCACCTGGGCCGAGCCGTCGAGCCTGGGCCGAGCCGAAGAGCCGCTCCGTGATCCGCCGAGGCGCCGGTTATTCGCCTCGATGATCAAGCGCTCGATCCAGAGGAGAACCGTCTCGGCGCGGTCCGGGCTGTTTTTCAGGTGGAGCAGGCTCTTCCTTGGACGGAGCAAGCTGCTGAAGTGGACATGTGACGTGTCTGCTGACGTGTCTCTATCATTGATCCATGTTTTGCATGTCCCTTGATTGAACTATCCAAATCTATCCAAAGGAGGAGGTGGGGTCTGCGGGTGATCCTTCCGGCTAACGGCTAACAAGGGGCAACACTTAAGCTTCAATGATGTTCAAAAACGGACATTACGGATTTACACCTCCTGAAATAATCATAACAATCTTGAAAGTGGCGCATGGCAAATCATACTTCTCTACAACCAGATGGAGTTCTTCTTCCATGTTAATCAATGACGCGCAGAGTAAAGGATTGACCAAGACCCAACTTGACACGGTAAGCTTCCTCAAACTCTGCGAGTGACCTTCCAAAATTCACATCGAAGTAAAAAGCATACAAACACAGCAAATCCTTGGTATTGAGCTCGAGCCTCTTTGCCTGTCTTTGCCTAGGCCTCCATCTCTGACTTACATCTAATTACCAAAGTCCAAATTCTCCCTGGGCATCCTTCAAAGGAACAAATCCTTACTGTGACTGATCTTTCCCGCCCCAGGGCCATCCATCTCAGATCCAACAACCCCGACACTAACCCCCCTTGTAATATGTTCGTGGCAAGGGTCTCGCTGATGCCTGAGACGCTGAGGATCTCCAATGAGTCGTCGTCCAAGTCACACATCGTCTGCAAGGCACTGCAATGCCTCGCTCGTCGGACGTCGATGCGGCTGTCGACGCGTCCCGTCCGATGACCAGAGATGATCAAAGGCCCGGTGATCCAAGGGCCGACGGCACGTGGTGATCCAAGGAGGGCGACGTTAGAGATGTAAGACCGAAAGGGATCAACAGCATCTCCTCAAACCCAAAGGAGGTGCTTTGGCCTAGTGAGAATGTGTGAAATTCCAGGGTCAATAGTCACACATCAGAATATTGATTGATGAATTATCTGTTAATTCCTGCGTGTGGCTTGTGAAATGTCTTGACAATAAAACTGATCAGCATGGAGACACCCTCAAGCAAAAAACATACCGCCCACTGCCCACCCTATCGTCTGCACACACATCTCCAACAACACATTTTTTTGTGTTAAATCCCGAACGAGCCAGAAACCGTAATGACATCTCATAGGTTTGGCCGAATCACCACATATATATATATAATTCCAAAACCTACAGCTGCCAACCTCTGATCTCCTCAATTTCGGCCTCCAAGAACCCCATGGTGCTGGGTGACAGGTCTCTCAAACGAAGCTTTATTGCCAAAGCGCAAGAGGCTCAGCAACTTAATCAAGAATTGCTGAAACTTCTCCACCTGCGCAACATTCGGTCAAAGGTCTTCCAAGGATTTGGAAGACCTCTCCGTCCCACCACCACACTGACATCCGGCGGATGATTACACCGCGTCCAACGACCAAGCGGCCAAGTGCTCGGGCTTCCGAGGAGCAAAGGAGAGAAAGGAACTAGCACATACCCTGAGAGTCAAAGACTTCAAAAGAATGGTCTGACAAGGTCTGACTATAGCGTACCTTGGTCTGACTATAGGTACCTTGGTCTGACCATAGGGTACCTGAATGGGAACTTCCTGTAGCACACGGTGTTGTAAGTTGCACAGTAATCAACCACCTCGGCGTCCAAAATTCCGATTAAACCACGGGGGTTCAGCACCCCAACATACGTGTTGTTTGACTAATTTCATGACGTGCTTGTGCTTGCCAACGCTCCCTTTTCCTCCAGGAGTACATCCTCAGGAGGATCCTGGGAAACGGAGCGTCGGCGGCGGTTTCGTCACAGGCCCGACGCCTCATGCTTCATTTCCTCGTCCGCACTGCAAAAGGAGAGCAGGTTGCTCAAGGCGCTGGTCCACTCACCACCTGGACCAGCGTTTTGCTGGAAGAAACACGGCCAGTCCAATAGCTGGTAGCTGGTGATTTGAGGCGTGACTGGGGCTTATACAGAAAAAAGACCAGAGTCCCCATGCTCCCCACACCTATTCATGGATGAAGGCTGAATGGAGGGTGAGGAGGGTGAGGAGAAAGGGGGTCAGCAAGAATCGCTTGCACGAGTTAGTGCATCAAATGCAGTCAGTTCTCCTACTGCCCCACCATTCCACGAAATGTCCACGAATAGCCCCGGGTTCTACGAATGTCCCGCGCCTTCCACGATGTTAGTAGAATAGGTTTTTGCAAAACTCTTTCTGTGCACTTCACTACCCTTCCGTTTGCCTCTGAATGAACTCGTGATTTCCTTTGCTCTTTGATGTGTGTCGGTCCCAAGCTACTGGTCCCAAGCTGCACCCAAGCGACTGGTCTGCTGAAAGAGCGTCACGCTTTCCTGATGCGAGCTGGTCGAACCACCGATGCGAGCAGCTTTCCTAACCGAACCCCTTCTGGTGGGTGTGCGCGCATGCGTTCTCGTGTGGACTTGGTCGCCGCGAATCAGGTGTTGTCGGGGTGATTGGCCTTCACTCAATTCCACGAAGCATGTGCTTGATGACGCTTGCATCTGAATGACAAGCTCCCCAAGAAAAAGTGGATCTCATGTGATCTCATAAATCCTGCGACAAACAAGACCCTACAAGTCAAAGACCTCATTTTACTGGGGATGGTCATACAAAACCAATACTTAAGGAGGTAAAAGACCAGGTTTTACTGGGTCTTTGGACTTGTAGGGAGAGTATTTGGAAGTGCTTGGCCTAGGGCCTTGCACAACTTCCACAGGATGCATACTGCATCGTCCTCTAGGGGTGCTTCATCGTCCTTCCTGGGAAAAGGGGTGGGAAAGTAGGCACGCCGTCACCTTGCGTGCCCTGATCCACACACATGCTTCACTACTGTTTCATTGCTGTTCAGCACCCGAGATACCCAAAATTCTGAGATTCCTGGCAAGCAACATCAATCTTCCAGGAGTCACAAAGGGGTGGTGTTTAGTCCTTAAGTGAGTGGATGTTCTGGGCACCCCTAACCTCCATGGATCGCACCCCTTTGTGACTGCTGGTTGTAACCTCTTTCAGGGACAGTCCTCACCAGTAAAGTGCTTTCCACATCGGACAGGATTTCAGACACGTGGCGCCACCGAAACCGAACTCGTGACATCCAGTTGGTCCAAGTGACCCAAAACCGACTGTAGGCTTGGTTGCTGCGGAAAACAATGAGGAAACCTGGCAAGGCAGGGCGAGGCGAGGTTTCATGAGCGGCCCAAGGACTTGTGTCGTCCTCGGTCCGGCGAAGTCGCCAATTTGTTGAAAGGTGATGGAGTACATAGGCTTGGAAAAGGACACCTCTGGGGTGTCTGTGGCTTGGAAAGCTAGGATGGCCTCTCACATGTGAAAACATCAAGGTGCGTATAAGGAATAGTCCACTCACTTGTAGGTCTAGGAACCCAACTTCAACCAAAGACTTGTGCAACCGTTGGAGGACTTTGGAGCATGGAAGATCCCAAGACTGCTCTGCGCCCTGAGCCACAGCATGCCAAGGCACCGAGGACAAAGCTGAAGCTGGACCACATCGTGGTAATGCCCTCCATCTCCACATTGCCGGTGCCCTCGGACCATTGAACGGTGGGCCCAACATGATGGGGTGCTGGCATGTACTCAATATGTTCCAGCTGTAATGCAGCAAATGCAACCATCTTCAAACATCTCACAACAGCTACGAGTTGGATTTTTTCCTGAAGCCTTTGGACCCTTTTTTCATGTCTCACATTCCTAGCGGCTACTAGCGCTTCCAAGGGGGGGTGCCCAATGGAGACCTGTAAGTAAAGTAGGGTAGTCTATTGGACACCCCTTGGAGGGTTCTGGTTGTTATCAAAATATATCAAAAGGTCTCCCAAGACCTTGGTGAATCAAATGAATCGAATGTCTCACCGAGACCACGATGGCTCTGGCTCTGCCTCACGGTCACCGTGAGGCAACCACGGCGACCACGAACGGATCGCTCCGGTGCCATGACCCCCGACCTTCTCGGTGTCCCAGAGCTGATGCAAAAGGACGGTGATAAAGGCCTCGTGCGACGCGGGCGACATCCAAAGAACGCGTCCCCCCAACGTCGAATCGTCGAGCTTAGCCATGGTGGTGAAGGGGAAAAGCTATGGCATGGTGATGAAGGGATGTGATATAAGCCGTCCTAGATAGTGTCCTCACTATGCTAGGGGAGTGGTTTCATCTCCAACCAAACCAGCACAAACTGTCATGACCCAGAAAGAAAACAGGTGACCAAACGTTCTACCCGTTCTTGTTTAGTGGAAACCACCACTCCCCAAAAAAAGGTGACCTGCAGGTTATCCACGTACTTCCTGGGTATGCCATGGCAATGACCTATGGACCTGCACAAAACTGCTCTATATACTTCTCCCTTTTTGGTGAGTGGGGGGGTGTGCCCTAACATTGTGTGGAGACATTCTTCCGGTGTTGGAGCAACTCTGGAGCAAAGGGCGCACTGCTTTTGCAAACTTTACTGTCAAGTTTTGGCCTACGTGCGTCTTAATTGACATTGCAAACTATGTTGTACACAGAATGCAGCAAAGTGGAGAGTTGGCGTATGAGCTTCATTCTGCCGTGATCAAACACACCATCCGGAAGAAAACATGTGAATCATGTTAAACTGATGTGTTGACTTTCTGTATTCAGGTCTGGGTAACCTAAACCTTAAACCTTAAACACTTCACAAAAGGATCCGTTGGGACTGCCAGTGGAACGGGCAGTGGCTTGGAGTTCGAATTGCCTGGCAGTGGATGAGACCCTCCCGAACATGGTTCCCGGAAAGACCCATGCCGTTGGAGGGAGAATTTGGAGGGGTCGACTTGGGTCAGTGAACTTGGGAAGTATGCCTACAAGTCAAAGACCTCATTTTACTGGGGATGGTCATACAAAACCAATACTTAAGGAGGTAAAAGACCAGGTTTTACTGGGTCAGACTGGACTTGTATGCACTCCCTGGAACTAACTAACATGGAAGTGGATGGCCCACCAAGTGCTATAACCTACCCCGATCCATGCCCAGATGCGCACGGCAACGACCAAACCTCAGACCGTCGCTGGCTTTGACCGGTTCAAATCCACCACGCAGCGTGGATGGCGATGTGTATGGTGAACTCATGGTAGAAGGGTCTTCTTACATGTTATAAACTGTTATAAGACACTTCCGGTGGTGCTGGGTGAAAGATGGTGAAACCAAGTCAATCGTCACGCTCAAATCCGCTAGTGTTCTTAAGGTTGCGGCCACGGGCATAAGGGCTCTGATTTTCAAGAGATATCGATATCAATGTTGCCATCGCTTCATAAATAGTTGGTGCAATGCATGCAAGACTCAAAACAGGAAATGCATTACGCTAGTGGAATTGATGAATCTTGGGGTTTGTACCCATCTGACATCAATCATCAGTCTCAATCTACCAGTGTCTCCCAAGTCTTGGTTCTGCAACACCCCATGGAGCCAAGTCACCCAACTCACTTGTGCCCTCGACTCTTGGACCTACAGTCCTTCCACTATAGGCCTTCTCTATCTGACCCAGTCGAACTGCTCCAAACCCTTCACTTCTGCCGGCCTCCGACTTCCCTGGATCCGCATCACCTCGTGCCGTGCTGCACCCCGGTGCGGTCCCCTCCGCCGTCGGGCGTGGCGCTCGCCGAGGCGCCAGAGCTTTGGGGATCACGGAGCCACGGAGCCGGACTAAGACGCCCATGCCCCAGACGCCATGCTTGTAGTCGATCATCGGATCGCGCCTATAGGCGCATCAGGTTTCCGAGGCGTTGTCCGTTCGAAGGGTGGGGTGCTAAGAGAAGGGTTGGAGCATTTCGGAGGGGGATGGTTGGGTGCGCTATGGTGCGCTTGGCTGTGGTTGGGTGATACTTGGCAGGTGATGAGAGGGACGAACACGCAATATCTCCCAAATGGATGCCAAATAGTTGAGCAACCATGGAGAAGTTGTTGAGCAAACCATGGTTTAAACATACAAACATGCGAAAGCAAGTGCGAAAGCATGTCCTGATGTCAAGACATGGGATATTGATTGTAGCTTACCACTCCATCGCACATCCTCCCACTGGGGCCAGCTGTCGCCTGGCCAAGCGTACACTGCTCCGTTCGCTGGGTGGCGCTGGGGCGCTCGGTGGCGCGTGCGGATTTGAGCCCGGACAGCTGCCGTTGATCAGTTGAGCAAACACGACAGCATCGCTTTCATGGAGCAAATCTGAAGCTGAGGGAGTGTACAAAGGGCTTCACTGGGAAGTTGCAGTGACCCTGGGCCGTATCTTGCTCAAACCATCACACCCGACGGTCTTGAAAGAAGGACTTGAGACTCGAGACCTGAAATCATCTAGTCACAACACCTCCTGGATCCTATTGGATAGATGCAACCACATCACACAGTTTTCGCCTAGGAATGGCAGTCCCTTCATGTTCAGCACCCTAACTCTTGGCAGGAAGATATGACTATGACATACTATGACTATGACTATGACTATTGAGATGGTGAAAAGAAACACGGGGATGGCTTCGCCAACTCCCAAGAATGTTTTTTAGATGTGACATCTGCAATCCTACAAACACTGCCTTTACAGCCCAAGTGGATGCAAGTGGTGTGTAGGTCGCAAATCATTGCGCCTACAAACCTTCCATATCTTTCCCCAGTCCAGGGTTCGACCATCTGATTTAGTACGCTGCACAGTTCCTCCATTTTTTACCATGAACCGCGATCCCTGGAATCCATTGCCCTAGACTTCCAAGACCATTAAAACAATGGTTGACCTGGTTTTTGTAGTGTAAAATCCTTAGTTGATTCGGTAAGGCCTATTAAAACAATGGTTGTTGGAAGCCTAGGGATTGGAATCCCTGATCTCGGCTGCCTGCCCACCCACGTGCCGATTCCCTCGTTTCGGCCCAAACTCCTCACCGAGATCGATCGAACTTGTCCCAACTCTGCCGACATGAGGGACCCAAGACCCACCATGTTCCGCCGATCTCATGAGTCGTCATTGTCATTGTCATCGTCCAATGATCGAAATCGTCCCATGGCAACATCGCCCGTGTCGATGGCAGCACGTTCCTTTTTTCGATCCGGCGCATCATCGGAATCATCGGAATCATACAGGGATCTCCTCGGCAGGCGACGCGAAAACATCCAGCTGCTCCTGTTCAAGTGATGTTGGTGCCGTTACAGGGATGTTTGATGTGCTTGATATTTTCAGTCAGTGCTTTGGAGGTATTTTGGGGGTAATGTTGAATCTTTTTAGTATATTTTAGGTGCTTTTTGGTGGTATTTGCACGTCCCCTGTTCTGAGGTCACCTCAGGGGAGTCCTGTTGGAATGGTCTTCCGAATTTCATGGTCCCTCCGCGACGTCTGCATGAACATTCGGCCAAACACCAACAAGAAAAGGCAAAAGAAAACACAGATCTCGGGGCCACTGAGCACTTCCTCGTGCTTGGCACTTAGCTGCACGAGTCGGTGTCGAGGGCGGCGGCAGGGCCTTTTCTCCGGCGCCCCCTCAAGCGCGCAGAGTCGGTGTCGAGTGCACCGCGCCTCTGGCACGGCTCCAACAAAGACCGGTGCCAAGGCGCGGTCTGGCAGCTCTAAGAATAGACATAGGCAGCTTGGGTGTGCTGAAGGGTCATGTGGCTGAAGATGGCTTGAGAATGGTTCTTGGTGTTTGCGCTCCTTGTTTCAGTGTCATAGGCTTGCATTGGCCGGTTTCTCTGATGTCTGGTCCGTTCCGACTATATACACATCGGTTCGGACTAATATCTTTTCTCCTGCTACAGTCCAACGCTGCTATTTTGTAGTATGGCATTTCTCAGCAACATCCTCGTGTCTTATCCTCATATGCTCTCATTCTATTGATGGGGTGAGACGGGTGTTTTCCAGGAGCTTCTCAGGGTGTGACATCTCAGTGCGATTGCAGCTCCACCCGCCGCGCAGCGTTGCCGGCTGAGCTTTGGCCACTCTTCTTGCAGCAGCAACAGCAGCCTGGACAGCTTGGCAGCAGTGCTACGCAGCGCGTAGCGCAGCTTCGAACATATGGATGCATCAGAGTCAGCATTCGAGTGGTTCGAGCGTGAGGCTCAGAAAAAGAAGAACAAAAATCAATCTGGGATTGCTATGCCATGCCTTTTTCTGAAGCTTGAAGTACTCTGGTGGGTCAAGATGTTGCACTCACTAGGCACTTGACTTGTTGCATGTTGAAGAGCTCACCGAGTCTTTGTAAAAAGAAGTCATCACATGTCTGCTCCAAAGCAACCCCACGCTGGACACTTGGAGGGCCTTCAAGCCGTGACAAAGGAAGGACTATGATTCTTTGATGTGCAACAGATCTAATTTTCCATGCTTGGCAACCAAGGGAATGAACATCGACTGGCTAGAAGTTTCTCTTCCATTGGAATTTTGGGGTATGGTTCCAGTATATTGAAGCTGGCTTCCCCGGCAAGTGAAGAACGTAAGTACTGCCAGTGAAACACTCTTGAGTGTCAGCTGGTAGATACATAAGGCCGCCAAAGGACCCAAGGACACTCAATACTGAACTCATTCCACTTGATCATCAACCGGCTCCGCCGGGTGTTCCCACCCCAATTGTAGAGCCCACATCTGCGCCCACTTTCAGTGGAGGAGTCTTCTTTCAGTCGAACGGAACCCGCACAACCTACCTTGGCCCCTGCGCCCACCCTGCAAAGCGTAAAAACTCCTCCAGTCCAAGTCCCAGGGACACGCGCAGCAGCAACAGCAGCAAAGGAGGACCAAGAGTCCAATGACGAGCATTGCGAAGGTCTCAGTTCGAAGGGAAAACACTTCTTCACTCCCACGACTACCTGGTGGGCGAGTGAATGTTCTGTTGGACGGCTTCCCTCCTTCTGTTGGACGCATCTTGACCCCCAAAACACAACAAAGATCCCAAGATCCCACTGTGAACCCCAATAGTCAACACTCTTGGATTCGTGATTCATGAATTAAAACCATGGATGGACAATCCCTTGAATTGATACCCCCTCGTGGATTCATGGCTGAAACCCATGTCCATGTTCCATGGCGCTGCTTACGGCAACCCCTGACAACCCCTGACGGGTCCAGTCCAAAGGTCCCCAGTGTTCGGCCATCCACTCGATGGCAGGTCACCAGTGGTTTAAAGTTTACCAGTTCCACAAATTCTTGGCTTGTGAGTTCTTCTTCTGCAACCAGGATGAGTGTCCATTAAGTTGGAGGGGGGCACAGGGCACATGCCGCGTGTGTCATAAGATATCAGACGCACACGCACACGCCCTCGTCGCGCACGGTCGCGCACATGCACCCAATCACCCACTTCCAAGAGACATAAACACTCATGCACTTCTCGCCTCGGATCCCATTCAACAGGCGCACTCTGCGCGGTGGTCGAGTTCGCGGGAAGGGCGGAGTGTGGCAGGGGTCGGTCTTCTTTCTTGGAGAAGAGACATGCAGTCCTGTTGCATTGCAATCTTGCAAACATGAGGCAAAAAAAAAGGGTGAGGCTTGGAAACCCAGGTGCTGGGTGCAAGATGTCCTCCAATCAAACTGAGAGTGAATCATTCAGATTTGCATGGAAGTTCCAGGCGCCGTGGGTTCTCCTCCATGCCCGTGGACTTTTGAGTGACCCTCATTTTTGGAGTACCCACCATCCAAAGGATCACTCCAGTCCATCCAGGCCATTAAGTTTCTCTAGGTCGCTGTGGAGCTTTTTGGGGGAGAGTCCGGCCCCATTAGCACTACACGGGGTGGGACCAAACGAATGGGACGCATGCAACAAAAAACAACCATGGCCCTAACGACCGGCTCTCCCTAACCCGTGGAATGGCATGGGCCATTAGAATTTTCCCCAAGAAGTTCCCCCTGGAAATAGACCATGAACTCCTCTACAAATGGTTTTGTTTCTTCCACTTCCGTCGTTGTTTTCAGGGTAAACCCATGGGTAGATGCCAGCACCAGGGCCTAGTGGATGATGATGGTTACCAGTAGTAATACAGGCCTTTCTCTAAAATAGTATCTGTAATTGTTGAACCGACTGACCCGCCGTATACGGTCAGTTCGGACAGACCCTAAACCGCTCGCTCCAAGCGAGGAAAAAGCACCCTACAGCGTTTCTCCAACACACCGAGCTGCCCATGCAAACGTCGCAGGTCATGGTCACCTTAGGTCGCGGATGTCCACGTATTTTCGGTGGTCGACGACTCGGATGGGTCGGGCGGACTGGGACCAGGTCAACCGATGAGTCTCGAAGACCTAACGGTACCTGATGAGGTCTTTCCCTTTTTTTGCCATGTCACATCAGGACGGCAAATGGGGCCAATTGAAAAAATGTCAAAACATTCCCAAACATAAATGCTGTTAGTTTTCTCGAACCACACGGAAACCCATGTCCATCGAATTTCCCCATCTCAGCCAGATGAATGTGTGTGTGTGTGTGTGTCTGTGTTACATGTGCAGTGGGAGTCGAAGACTATAAAAAGAATGGTCTTTAGGTGGCCCGAAAAGGCATTTCCCTCACTTCAGTCCGTGAAAATATAGCCGAACTGGACTTCTAGGCCTAGGCTGTGTTTGTTACATGTCTCAGGTGCTGGTTCTTCTCTGCTTGTCTCGTTCTCGTCCCCACGGTTGCCCAACACATGTCTCTTCGGTGTCACGGGTCGAGCCACGATTTCCTGATCATCCACGGTGACCACGGTGCACCGGGCCTTTCCGTGGTGCCAAAACGGTCCGTCCTGGTAGAGGC